CCCCAAAACACCAAAACCCCAAAACCCCAAAACCCCAAAACCCCATGAAGTGTATAGAGTATTGGATGAACTCTTATCAATATATAATTAAGTTAATCACATTCAAAAATAAGTTGAAGGAATGTGAGTAAGTAAGTATAAGCCACTAAACACACTCAAACTAAATAATACCCATCATCCACATGAGAAGGACAAATAGATTAAATCATTCAATATTTGCTTGCTTCATTTGTTCTGATCACTCAGATTTATTGTCTCTAGTTTTATTGCTATTGCATTAGTTGCTATTAGTATGACTTTTAGAAAGATTAATTAGTAGTAAGGTTGCCAGCAGAGTTGCTATTTGCTACAGTATTGCTGTTCTACTGCTGCTGAGAAGAGTTACAGTTCATTTTATTCTGAAGTTAATTTAGTATTTATTGCTACTTTTACACTTGGTTTTAGGAGTACTTTTGACTTAGTATATTAGTTCTGTCAGTCAGAGGAGGCCTAGCCTTGGCATTTGAAGAACATCTTTTAATCAGCTTTTGAGGCAGGTTGGCAATCACCTTGTCTTGCTTGTTGAAAGCTGTGGTGATATTGTTGCTGTTGCAGTTGCTGCTTGAATTGCTCTCTATTATTTTATTCAAATCTGCTGTCATATTCATTAAGTTCAATGTTTGGTTCTTTTGCTGTTCAAATTTATTTTGATTAGTTTGAATCAAATTATCAGACATTGGATTCATGTTCAAATAGTTGTTCGGCATGTACCTCGCTAGTTTGTCAATTGAATCTTGTCTCATCATATAGTTGTTATTGCTACTCTACTGAATCGATTAATTGATATTAGATCTTGAGTTATTCTTTGACATCATTTTATTTGCTGAGTCGTTCAATTTCTTTGATAGCAGGGTCTCACTTGATGGATTGTGTGATAACAACTAATTCTAAACTTGATTACTAGTAGTGAATTACTCTGTTTCCCTTCGTTTATTAGGCAATGGAATTTTATTCAGCTATGTTTAAAGAGCCTTCAAGTCTGATGGGTTGATATTCTTACTGCTGTTGTTATTGCTAGACATCCCTCGAAAACTTCTTTAAGATATCTAAGCCTGATCAGAGGTCTTGAAACTTCTCTTAGCTGCGGAGTTGCTGTCTGTTCTTCCAAAGTTCTGATAGTTTCTAGACAGTTGCTTCTAGTTTTGCTAAGTATTCTGGTTGAAAGTAGTTTATCTAAATTAGTCATGTTGCTAAATCTCCTCTTCCTAGTTATTATCAATAGTGTTGCCTTATGAGCTTTTCAAATAGTAAGAGCTGTTGTTGTCGTCATCATCTGGGAAGTCAGGCATAGTGTTAAAACGCTTCTCAAAGGATTCTCGCTCAGGATAGAATTAAATGTCCTGAAGTTGTTGTAATTAGGGCTACTTGTAATTGAACCTGTGCTTACTCTTACTATTAGTGGTAGCTGACTTCTAAGACTTAAGGAGATTTGAGTTGACTATAGCAACACTTTCATCGTGCTCTGATTAGTGATCATTAGCATTGTTTGGGCCTCTTGATGATTATTGTAATTTCAAAGCTTCAACATAGGATTTGAATTCCGATTCTGATTTTATTTTTTAAAGCTTATATTTGCCACCTCCTCTTGAAAAACCACTACTTTCAAGTCCGATAGTTCCAAAGCTAGTTGCGCTCATCTTACTTTCTTTTAATTAATTACTTATTGACATTCTCTCACTAGTAGTAAGACTGCTTTCACCAGCCATAGTGCTAGCAAGTCTTTACAAGCTTTTAAGCAGCTCAAAGTTCATTACTACATCGTTACTTCCGCAGTTAGAGCACTGTAACTCTGAAGTATTCCTTATAAATTCATTTATGATAGTTTCCTTATCACTTAAGAACATATCTCTTTCCTTTTAAGATTGTTCTTATTCATTTATCTTTTCCTCTCTGGTCTTTAGCTCATCTTCCTTTTTCTTGATTAGGACTTGGACTTCTTGCATCTTTTTCTCACGAATTCTTAAGCTCACCTGAGGTAAGTTCATAAGATCATCTACTGTCGGTCTTTCAATACTATTCTAGCATAACATCCAGGAAACTACTCGGTTTAGTTCCTCAGAGTAGCGAGCTGGTATTCTTTCAAATTTGCCAGTTTTTATTTTGACTGCCAATGACAAATGATTTTAAGCTTAAAACGGTGGATGTTGAGCTGCCAATTCATATATAATGCAGCCCAAAGACCAAATATCACTCTGCTCATTATACTTAGACTCATTTATCTGCTCTGGACTCATGTAATATGGAGTGCCAACATGTGTGTAAGCAAACTATGAATCATGATTCATAACTCTAGCTAGACCAAAGTCACCTATCTTTACGTTGCCATTCCCATCGAGGAAGATGTTTCCAGGCTTCAAGTCTCTGTGCAGGATTTTTTGAGGCGCTTCACCAGAGGCATTGGGATTAGAATCATTTCCTGGCTAGTTATTGAGTTATCTACGATGACACTGGTACAGTCCAAGTGTGATCTACATCAGTATTTTCCAAATGACATCCTCAGCAATGTGGTCTGACTGCTTACGAGTCTTTCTAATAATTAAAGCAAGGTCTCCTCCCTCGCAGTACTCCATGATGATATATATCCTTTAGTTGCTCTTGTCTATTATTCTATCATAGTATTGGACGATGTTGGGATGCTTTAGATCTCTGAGGATGTTGACCTCTGAGACTAATTATTGCTTCTCTTTTTCACTCATTTTACCATAGTTAAGCTCCTTCCACACCAGTATTTTATCATCTGTCTTCCTTCTTATCTTTTACACCTTACCAAATGATCCTATTATCATTCAAGATTATTATTAGACCCCAGAATATATGCTTACCATTTCCTATATCGGAGATAATTTCGTACTGTTCCACCATAGAATTATTTTGAAGAGGGAAAATGCCTTTAATTTAATTTAAATTTATACTAATTGTATCAACTATATATTTTAATAGAATTAAGACTTCACTCACCTACTTTATTCACACATTTTATTCTGTTTTTTTTCTTAATTGCAAAATTAATCAGGCTGGGGTTTTGGGGTTTTGGGGAGATCGGAAGAGC